AAATGTAAAGTTTCGAACCTTTGGGACCCTGTCAAAGGGATATCTTCCAGCTGGAGACGCGTCCCGAGACGCGTCAATCGTATGAAAAAACTCTAGATCTGTCTTCTTCAGAAAAAATTCCGCACAAGTCTGAATTTCGCATTTGAGGTGTTGGCACGTCTACAAGAAATGTCAAGCAAAATCACAGTAATTCATTCAATGTTTCATTGTGAATTGAAGAAAATACTCTCTGATTTTTGTGCAATATCTAAAGTTCTATATATAGATAATCAGAAAAAGTTGACAGCAAAAATAATGCTTATTCTTCCACGCGCTCTTCAATCTTGACAAACAAGTCCTTGGGCATTGAAATGATGCGGTTTCCTTCATATTTTGGTGGATGCTGCATTTAAAGAGGCATGGAATATTATTAATTAATAGCAAATAAATTTTTCTTGATTTTCTAAGTGAACTTACGCTCGTTTTAGAACATCTGGACAGTTTGAAAGACAGTATCAAGTGACCCAAGCTTAGTTTCGATTGCTCTGAGGCGAACCGCATTCCGATGCAAATTCTTGGTCCTTGTCCAAAGGGGAAGTACGTGTACGGGACCAGTTTTGATTTGTTTTCCGGGGCGAACCTGCCATCACCAGAAAAAATCGAGTTAATTTTTTTATTAAATTATTTTCGTTCTGGCTTGTCCAGATTATAATTATTGATCATGTTTCTCAATTAAGTGAGATGGAAACATTCTGTTCAATATTCGAATAAAGATATTCCTGTTGAACATTGTCCAACACTCCATAAGATAATTTGTTTTTTGAAGTTTCTCAGTATGCTCAATTTGAAACCAAGTCTTGAAAGGCAAACTATTTCTGAATTTGAGAATACATTTTCAAAGAGAATGCTCAAAATAATTTCATTATTAATCATTGTGTGGATAAAAAAAGAGCATGCTAATTACACTCAAACATCTCCAAGTGGAATTTCATGGGACCAGCAAAAAATTCAACTTAGTGAGGTTTTGAACTATGTTTGAGCTACAATACAAAGCTGTTTTGTTCTGGGAAAAGACTGCTTATTTTTTTACCTTTCCGGGTCAAATGTGTTCGGATCAGGATGATATTCCTCAGTGTGATGAATGGTCCACATGGGAAAGACAACCGTGTCACCCCTTTCGAATTTTAGTCCTTTGATTTCGCAAGATTTTGTACAGCCTCGTTCGATTCTGAAAAAAGAACAATTTGTTAGCTAAGTTTTGAAGGTCCAGTTTTTTACTTGCGAAAAAGAAAAAAAACTTGCATTGTGTCAGTGGGGTAAATCCTCAAAGATTCGCTCAGCACTTGATCCAGATAGTGGCATTCTTGAATCGCCTCGTGGTTCAGTCCATTCTGTGCAAAAAATATTAATGAAATGTTTTAATGATTCAATCTTCTAACAGTTTAAAATACAGTGAACCCCTGTCTAACGGACTTGATTCATTCAAGGGACGAGTCTGTTAGACAAAAAGTCCTTTACACAAATTAAATTACATGAAAAATTGAAAATTTCAAATTTTCAACACTAATTTTAAAACAAAAGAAGTCTGTTTGGTGGATTTTGTCTGTTGGGCGGGAGGAAAAACTGCTTGCAGAGCTGGTCTGTTTGGCAAAAATCCCTTACACGAGAGGTCTAGGACAAGGACCAAGAATTTGCATCGGAATGCGGTTCGCCTCAGAGCAATCGAAACTAAGCTTGGGTCACTTGATACTGTCTTTCAAACTGTCCAGATGTTGGGCGGGAGGAAAACTGCTTGCAGAGCTGGTCTGTTTGGCAAAAATCCCTTACACGAGAGGTCTGTTAGGCGGGGGGCACTGTATTACAATATCTCTGGGAGCATTCTTCTTCAGGAGCTAATTTGAGTAAAAAAAAGCTTCATGAAAACATGACGGTATTTTTAGAAATGAACAAAACTTTCATTGAATGGTTACCGGGAAATTAGGGAACCTGATTTTAGTCGACATTTGGCTTTAAAATTTGAAGTGGCTGAATGTAAGAGCAATTTATTTTAGGCATTATTCAGGGAAATCTTTGAAATTGCGAAGCTTCAGAAGATGAAAACATTGTAAATTCTGTTCGTTTAAAGATTTCATGGCATATTTTTTATCACAAATTTTGTGCAGAGCCATATAAATTCGATTTAATAAATATTGCGTCATGGTATGCAGCATTTTTATTGTTGTGTCAATTGCTTATTTTCCCCATTTCCCTCTTAGTGTCTTCCAATCAGATTATATCGCTTATTTAAGTAGCATTGCATCATTTGAAGGCTGACAAGAAAGCGTAGCATTCAGCTGATTGAATTTTTTCCCAGCAGACGCCCAAAAAAATCAGAATTTTACAAGTACATTTTTGTTGAATAATCTTGATTAAAATTGATCATACTGCGTCCATCAATCTACTTCATTTCAACTCACGTATTTCTCTGCCACTGACTTCAGTTCTTCGTGGAGCTTTTCTTGGCACTCGGGATACAATGCCAAGTAATGTCCAGCCATCGCAAGTTGAGTTCCAACAGTGTCGTAACCTGCTGCGAAAAATGTGACGCATTGCGAAATGAGAACTTCTTCGTCCAAGACGATTTTTGCATTCGGATCTTTTGCCCTGTTTGCCTTTTCTGCTTCAGCTTCTTCAAGGAGTACGTCGAGGAAATCCCCACGTTTGCCAATCTGAAATTTGAAGTGCAAAATGGTTAACTGGATTAAGAACAGCGTATTTGCATTTGATGTACAGCAGTGTCAAGAAGAGCTTCAAATATTATGAGGTTCAAATAAAACTCAAGAATTCAATTTGGCTACGACCAGGATGACTAAACACCCTATTCTGAAGTTGGTATATTTTCTGTGAGAAGGTTTTCACAAGTCACCAAATTTACCAAGTACTTGGGAAATCCTTGCAGTACCACAGCTTGAATCAAAGTTCAGTTTTACAAGAGGGTTTTTTTGAGAAGGGTTTCTTTCAAGGATATCAAATATTCCCACTGAGATTGTTTTAGATATTGAGTTTCCATTTTAACTGTTTCTATTTCTGGCCATTTTAGTTTCTAAAGATTCAGGGATTTTATGACAATTGCTGGTCATTTTACAGATTCCTGTTGGAACTGGGGTGAAACCAAATTCACATGAAAACATCCAAGGATGAGTTTTGGCAGAATACCAAAACTTGTCCTTCCAGGTTTTGGCAGTGGAACAAATTTAATGCTGAAGCTCGCTTTGAGAGATTCAGTTTAAAAGATACAGGCAGAACCTGATAAATTGCTGTTTTCCTCAGAATGGCTGACTAAATTTTCAACAAGCAGTATCTTGAAAAATTTGCTATTTTGCTGCTCTTTGAAATATATGTTGGAAATTAGAAATAGGATGACAGAATTCCAGACAGATCAGTTTGGTGCCACTGAAACGTTAATACCTAAAACATGTCCAGAATCCCATGAGACCAAGTTTTACCTCAAGTTCCCACAAGGACTTGAATTCTTGGGGGAATCCTGCAAAAGGGGATAATTCCTTTCATGGAAGAAATTATGTGAGATGAAAGAGTTTAAATACCAAATCAACCATGTGTTAAAGAATCAGTTGTTCCTAGATTGTTTCATGCAAAAGACTGCTACTTGTCAATCTGCTGTTTGTCAAAACCTTGTGTTTCATTCTAAATATACCAACCTTACACTAGGGTGTAAAGCACCCTGGCCATAGCCCGGCTGATTGTTGTTCAAACTCATTTCAAAAAAGAATCTCAAATTCAAAGATTTCAATATACTTCCAATCTGTTCCTCACAATATATATATATACTATCATTGAATAAATACAGAACTTTATATGCAGTTTTCTGATCATAAAATTCCCTGTGATTCGAAGTTTTGGGACAATTTTAAAGAATTATTTTGGAATTTGGAACAATTTTATGCTATGGACGAAAGCCTAGCACAAAAATATCCATTTATTCAGGGATCCGGATATAAAGGCAATCAAAGTTTAAATTTCCTTGGCCAAGAAATTTTTATTGCGTATATTTCAAAAATTTCTTTCTGAATTTCAAGAATATTTCTGGAACAGAATAAATGAGAATGACTCACAGAACCGTCCGCTTTCCTTGATTTTATGACCTCTTCTACTGTCTTGACGAAAAACTCGATTGAATCTCTGCTTATCAAAGCCTCTAGCCCGAAAATCTGCGTCCACGGAAACAGCTCTAAAAAAAGATATGCCGAACATTGAAAGTATTGCCATTAATTTTTTTTTGGCACAAACTCTACCTGGAATGAGACTCCAACCGCTGTCAAACAAAGATGGTCGAAAGGCTTTGGCGCTGTTGACTGCAAATGGATTATTGGGGTCGTCCAAGTTGTCCAATTTTGTCCCGAAAGCACATCTCGCAATCACGTCCAAAGTAACTTTGCCAAAAAAGCTGCCAATATTTGCAACTCAATCGATATGTTCTTCTCCTCAATATTTTGTTTTCATACCTCAATGTTTGTTCCTATATATATACGAGTATGTAAAAGCTATGGATTGAATGAATAAATACAGTGCAATTTTGAAGGTGGTCAACCGATGTCAACTGATTCGTCTTTTTGTCAAATAAAAATTCATTAAAAGCAACAACAAAATAATATTCAAAAATCAAAAGGAAATTTCAGGGTAGAGCGGAAAAAATTACCCCAGCAAAACTGAACAGAATATTTCTCAAGCGAATAATGTATATTAAGTTTTTTCGCAGATGAGAAGCGACATTGGATGAAAATTTTGTTCCTAATTTCGTTTTCTGAGTAAATTTTCACTGGAATTTGCCATAAAATTTTTCATCAAACGTTCTTCAAACTTGACATGCTGCATGAGAGTACATTAGTTTTATTGGAACCATGAAAAATCATCCTTAAAAATTAATTTTTTGTTGTGATTCTGGATCAATACAGTATATTACAAATAAATTTTCAATACCTGTTTTACGTTATTTACTCACACAGACCTTTGAAACTTTATGTTTTATGAAAAATTCTTCATAGCCGAGTATCAGCTTTATTCCGATAAAGTTTGTTGTGCCCCTGTGCTTTGTTTATCATAACTGAAGTAAACTGATAAAATAAGTCAAGAGGATTATCTTATTTATCTAATCCATGTTCGACTTCGTATCTCAAGTACTAACGGTATAAACACGCGAATGTGCAAAGATTCAGACAAAAGACTGGGCAAACAACTGAGTTTTCCATTTTTTTCAGTGAAGGGTGTTATAAAAGGGCCTTTTAAAATATCCATTATCTATAGAAGCCACTTCAAAATCTTCATGCGATACCTGAAGGCTTATTTTTCAGAAAAATATCTTTGATGGTTGTCTTTGAACAAATACGCTTCAATACCTTAACAGTAAACTTTTTCGCATATTTTTTTGACTATAGGCATAGATTTGAATTCCTTATTTTTTAATTGGTATGTTATAAAGAAGAACCAATTATTTTAACAAATAGGAAAATCCTGATGAAGGAATATGTGGCCTATTCCCTGGACAGAAGCAGCTGATTCTCTTATAAGATATGAAGAAGATATTATATTTCCAAATGAGCTAAAAATCAGTTTATTTTTAAATTGAGCCAAGGGTAAATTCCAATCTTCAAGAGTGAAAATCAAGATTAATTCATTACATAATTTCTGCCTTTTAAATCATTTCTTTAGCATAGGCCCCACGAATATTGAAGTACGGCCGAAACTCGAATATTTCCTTTATAGGAAACACCCTTACCTATTTAAAAAAAGTGTGGCTAATATAATTAAGAGAAGAAAATATTTTAAAATAATTTACTCTTTCAGTTCGATGATTCCTGATCCTTTGGTGACGGACCGAGAACTTTCAACCATTCTGTCGCAGCATTCCACCATGATGGAGGACATCTGCAAATATAAAGTCACTCATATATTATGTCAAATAATAAACATCTGTTTGATTTCGGTACAGAGGAGAACATCTCAAAGCTTCTCTTGTCAAACAGCGTTATGTTATAGCGAAATAGCAAAAAAAGAAGAAACTACGTCAAAAAAGAAAGATAACGCAATAATAATACTCTGTGCGTATAAAACTGCGAAACGTTATTAAAAACTTTAGTTACATTTTAAAAATGAGCTAAAATAATTTTTATTCCTATATCACTGTATGTCCACAGTTATATACCTTTTAGTGTGGTTCTTCAAATAAAAAAATATAAATTCGTTCCAGGATGGGTTTTAGTAGGCAAAATATTTTAAAATTATTTTGTGGCCTGAAATTTGCACGCCCAAAAATGTATCCGACTGGAAAACCTGCATCCCCTTGAAGATTGTTGAAAATTCATTTCTTTCAAATAAGAACAGTAAAAAGTGATCCCTTTTATAAATAAAATCATATATAAATACGGATTTTAACGTGTTGCGAAACAGAATTCCCCGTTCAATATTTTCACCTATATGCAAAGAATCATTTATGACTTGAACCTTCAGTTTCAGAATTTGATTTTTCACTTGAAGGATATACGGTACACACACAAACTGCATGCACCCACTTTTCTGCCTTGATTTTGCAGAAAAAAAGGGGCACATGGTGCTTACGTAAATACGGAAATTTGGCACGGCAAACGTGATTTTTGCACGTCGACGCATGTGAAATATTTGGCCTCAATATTCTACAAGGACAATCGCACAAATTCTCACCTTCTTGATTTTGCCACTTGAAAAAGCTGGAGTAACAGCGCTTCTTGCTTCTTTCCAACCTTCCCCATTGATGACAAAGAGAAATTTCCTGATGTACTTGTTCTGATCAAGGCCGAATGAGAATAGCTAAAAAAATAAATAGAGCATTTCAACGAGGGCCTTAGGATTTATTTTGAAAAACCTTCTGAGGTTTCTTTCGGGCACCTTGTGGTCGGCAAAACAATCGAACTTTTTCACGAAAATCTCCTTGATAACTTCCGGGTCACTGACATAAAGCAAGGGCGTTTTCCCGTCATAAAATCTGTCGAGTCATTCAAATATGATTATAAATAAGTAACCGTGTGCAAATTTTGTTCAATTGATATTTTAGCACGCACCCGAAGAATTTGCCGTATCGCCTCACGTTTTCCTCTTGCCACTTGCGTATGTCCTGCGGGAAATTTCATCAAGAATGTATCTCAACAACTGTAGTAAAGAATATTTTCTGAGAACTGACCTTTTTCCAAATCCCCCACAGGTTGCCAACGAAGGGGTAAATCGGCTTGACTGTTCGTATTCCTCGTTTGGCGAAAACGTCGAATCCGGAATACAAGAACTTGTAGAGCCAAATTCCGAATACGGTCAACAAAATTGTCCACAAGGGGACTTCGAATCCCAAAATCTCCATGATTACAAGTTTATTTCTCCTGACATGAGAAGAAATACGTTATCTTTTATTCACACTTTCATGCGGTTGACTCGGTTAACGGCCTCAATTTAATCTCGAGGGGATATCGTAAACAGACATGTAGAAATAGATAAATGCTCCCCAGCCTTTTTTGGTCCGCGGACCGGCAAACTTTTATAAAATATTTCGCGAACCAACAAATTTCAATAAAAAATATCTGCTGAACAGCAAAGATTCATGAAATTTCTTTGAACTCATGAAGTTTCATGCGGAAGATTTTATGGCAGATATTTAAAATTGTTCTGTTCTTTTTTGCTAAGTCACAAGCCAATGAAGTAATTATACAGTAGTATAGAATGTCCTCAAAAATTAGAAATGTGGCCTTGAAAAGATATGTTTCATGTTGAAAAATTCTAATAATTTATTCCAGCAGGTGGAAATTTGTTTGAAAAGTGTTATCAGGAGAAAACCAAAATTTGGTTTTTTTGTCGAATAATTTAAGCCATCATTGTCTTTCCGAAATTCCAGATAAACATGACAGACTTTTCATTGTCACTTCTGATAAAAAATTTTCAATATGCCGACGAAAATTGTTTGCGGACTGACAGAACAACATCAGATTTGCCAAATAATTCCTCCCTTATCTCGGAGCCCACATCTTTTGACACTTATGTCTCAACGTTTTCAGTTCAGAAATACCAGTAATGGAAAAACTTTTCACTTCAAAAACCGCAAATCTGTTGATATCACGGTTCAACCTGGCATGCAAATAATAATAAAAAATTCTACGCGGAATCATATAAACTGTGCATCAATTGTCCGGAACTCTCCTCGATTACTTCTGAGCACAATTAATTCTAAAATAACTCAGGTTTGGCTTGCTTCATGGGTGTTCTCGACTCCAGACTCAAACTATGTGTGAGATTGATTTTTTTCTTCTCTTTTCAAGGTTGCTGCGTATACAGATATACACGCACGAATGTAAGATATCTTGCTAATGGATGCTGAATCACGTTCCTGTGAAGTGTGAAGGCGTTTGTGTGACTTTTGGATGGTTTTTCTTCCCCCATGCATCAGTTGGTGTTTTTACCACGTTTTTATGAACTCACTTTCTTGTCTGTCTGTCTGTTTGTCCCCATCAAATTTTGAAACTCAAATTTCACTCACTTCCAGACTAGCTAGCAAGCTGAAACTTTCAGGATAGCCTAAAAACTGATGACAATGCAATCTTATGTGAAAAAATTAATTTTAAGAATATTTTTTAAAAAGAATAAAATAATTATAGTAGATTTCTATAATAAAACTTTGAGCAGGTTTTCCTTNTAATCTACTATAATTATTGGTTGCATATAATACTGTACTGGTACAGTGCGAGTATATATTACATTGTCTGTGGCATGGCATTCTCAGGTACATCCAATTTTAAATAAATCAATTGATATGAATACATAAAAATGACAAATGTGTATGTCATATTCACTCAAGTACCACAGACACCCTGTTCTCAAAATTGAGAGGAAAAAAAGAGTGCATGAAATTTATCTAATAGGCGTGTATACATTTTTTGAAAAGTTTTAGAAGTTCAGGTGTGCATTATATTATTTAATTCCATTGGGAAATGTTGGACCAATTTCTACAGGAAGATGTATTTTGTAGAAATAATTTGAAATTATTTCAATTCAGGATCAATTCTTGTCTAAATTAAAATTTCGGTGTTCATATTTTTGAAATATTGCAGTTTCAGTCACTAATAATAGAATGTGCAGCTTACTCTGGGGTACAATTTTATTTTTAAAAATTGAGAGAAAACCACGTGACTTCTTCAAGGGCACGTGGAAGAAAATATAGTTTATATAGATTATAAAGTAGAAGGTATTAAAAATTCTAATTGTTCAAGTTCAATTGGTTTAGTTAGTATGATTGATTAGCAGATTATAGTCAAGGATTGTTGGATGAATTTTTTACATTGGTTAATCTAGGTTCATCAGCTCAAAGTGATAGTTACCAGAGGTTACTTGCTGGTTTGAATATATTTTATTCCTTTTTCCTCACAACTCTTATCGTGCAAACATTTTTGTGTTTTTTTTGTTGCTATCACGTGACTCCCAGTTATGCCATATAATAATAACTCACAATAATGCATATGAATGAAAGCTTTGGAGTTTTCCGGATATGAAGCAGTTTTGTCAAGATGTGAAACCATATAGTTTTCATGATTCGTTTCTATACAAATGTAAATCCTCTCTCATGACCATAAAAATCCTATCATTTCTTTTTCTGTCTCCAAAGATCAAAAACTTTCCCAAACTCATTGAAGATAACTCCAATTTTTCCAATTCTCAACTCATTATATATATTCGTCATAGGTGTGTCTGCAAGCTAAGCATTCATCTTTGTCAGATCCAATGACTTTGCTGTTTATTTGTGAGATAGTTGTTGAAGCTGCACCTTGAAATATCCTCTGAGATTGTAGAATTTGTATTTGAAATTGTTTGATAGGCAGGCAGTTATTTTCCTGGACCTAAAACCCCATTTT